GTCTTACAGATGTCCCATACACCACCGTCACCACACCTGGATATATCATAGAATCCCTACAGTTCAGATAGAGCCATTCAGCCCATCGCATTTGCACTGACCCTCCAAAGACCATTCGACCCAGATCCACCTTCAGACTCCCACCACCCCCATAACCCTGCATTTATCGTGGCTAATCCACCTAGCCTGCACACCTTTGGCCTGTGGGAGGAAACTGGAGCACCTGGTAGAAACCCATACGGACACAGGGGAGAAAGTGCGAACTCCACATCATCAGTCGCCTGTGGTTAGAATCGAACCCGAGTCCCTGGCACTGTGAGGCAGCAGTGCTAACCACTGTGCTACTGTGCCACCACGTCTTGTCCTATCCCATCCCACCAGCAGCATCAGCTCAGCAGGGGTGGCAGTACAATGATATACAGTCTGGAGGGAGTTGGCTTGGGAGTCCTCAATATTGACTGTGGACACAGGCTCCTGGCATCAGGTCAAACATGGGCAGGAAATCTTGCTGTTTGTCTCATACCATCCTCCTTCGGCTGGCAGCTCTGTGCTGTTCCACATTGGACAACACTTGGAGGAAGCACTGAGTACAGGAAGGGCTCGGAATGTAAACCAGGTTGTTTGGGGCTATTACATCATCACCAAGAGGCTCAGTAGCAGCACTACTGATCAAACTGGTTGGGTCCTAAAGGACATTGCTAGACTGGGTCTGGGCAGGTGATGGGAGAACCAACAAGGGGAGAAAACATATTTGACCTCATTCTCACCAATCTGCCTGCCACATATGCATCTGTCCATTATAATATTGGTAAGAGTGGCCACCAGACAGTCCTTGTAGAGATGAAGCCACACCTTCACTATGATAATACATTGCAACGAGCCGTGTAGCACTATCACAGTATTAAATGGGACAGGTATTGAACATCAGCAGCAGGAGAATCATACTTCAACACAATCGGTAACCTCATGGTCTGGTATGTCGCCCACCCTACCGTTACCTTTGAGCCAAAGGCTCAGCCCTGGTTCAGTGAAAAATGTAGGAGGGCATGCCAGGGACAACACCAGGAATACACAAAAATGAGGTGTCAATGGTAAAGCTACTAAACAGGACTACTTACATACCAAACAACATAAGCAGCAAGTGATGGACAGAGCTTAGCGATCCCATGACCAATGGATCAGACCTAGGCTCTGCAGTCCTGCCACATCCAGTCATGCATGGTGGTGGACAATTAAACAACTCACTGGATGAATGCGCTTCACAAATATCTCTGTCCTCACTGAAGTGAAAGCCTAGCACATTAGTGAAAAAGGTGAGGCTGTTGCATTCGCAACAGTCTTCAGCCTGAATACTGCACAGGTTATGGACCCTGACAACGTTCCGGCAATAATGCTGAAGACTTGTGCTCCAGAACTTGCCACACCCCTATCCAAGCTTCTCCAATATAGTACAGCACAGCCATCTACTCAACAACGTGGAAAATTGTACACACAAAGCAGGACAAATCAAATCTGGCCATTTACTGTCCCATCAGTCTACTCTGTATCATCAACCCAATGATGGAAAATGCCATCAACAGTGCTAACAAGGAGCACTTGCTCAGCAATAACTTGCACGGTGATGCCCAGTTTGAGTTCAGCAAGGCCATTCAGCTCCTGACCTCATTACAGCCTTATTCAAACATGGGCAGAAAAGCTGAATTCCAGAGGCAAATTGAGAGTGACAGTCCTTCACTGCATTTGACAGAGTGTGGCACCAACAAGTCCTAAAAGAATGGAATCGGGGAAAACTCTCTGCTGGTTGGAGTCATACCTGGCACATAGGAAGATGGTTATGGTTGTTGGAGGTCAGACATCTCAGCTCCAGGAAATCTCTGCAGGAGTTTTTCAGGGTAGTGCCCTAGGCCCAACCAACTTCAGCTGCTTCATCAATGACCTTCCCTCCATCATAAGGTCAAAAGTAGGAGATGTTCACTGATGATTGTTCTGCACATTCATGACTCCTCAGACACTGAAGCAGTCCTTGTCCAAATTTAACAAGACCTAGACAATACCCAGGCTTGGGCTGAAAATTGGCAAGTAATAAATGCCACACAAATGCCAATCAATGAATATCTCCGATAACATAAATCAAACCACTGCCCCTTGGCATTCAATGGTGTTACCATCACTGAAACCCCCACTATTGGGGTTTTCCATTGACCAGAAACTGAATTGGATTCCACGTATAAATACTAGCTTCTGGGCTAGGAAGCTAGGAATAATGCGACAAGGAATTCACCACCTGATTTCCCAAAGCCCTGTGCCATCTACAAGACAAAAGTGAAGAGAGATGGAATATTCCCCACATGCCTGGATGCAAGCTCCAACAACACTCAAGAAGCCTGACAGCACTCATGATGGAGTATACCACTTGATTGGCACTACATCCATAAACATTGAGTCACTCCAGCACTGACGTTCAGTAGTTGCAGTGTACACTATCTAAAAGATGCACTGCACCAAAGATCCTTCAAGAGCATCTTCCAAACCCACAACCATTGCCGTCTAGAAGAACAAGGGCAGCAGATACATGGAAACAACCACACCTGCAAGTTCCTCTCCAAGTCACCCACCATTCTGACTTAGAAATAAGTCACCGTTGCTTTACTGTCACTGGGTCAAACATTCTGGAATTCCCTCCCTAATGGCATTGTGAGTCTGCATATTGCACATGGACTGCAGCAGTTCAAAACGGCAGTTCACTACCACCACCTCAGTTAGGGATGGGCAATAAACATTGGCCCAGCCAGTGACGCCCAAGTCCCATGAGTAATTTAAGAAAAAAAGCACCTGCCGAATTCTCTTTTAAGACTTGATGGGTTAAAGGGCCTCTTTTGTACTGTATGATTCTATGAAGGTTATTTACAGAATCAGCTCCCACCATCTTTTTGTGGTAGAAAATTCCAGATGTCAACAGCTTCCTACATGGGGAAAAAGAATCCTTCATTCTCTTAATCTCTTGGATGAGTAAAAGTTATGTTCTTTCAATCCATTTGAGATCTTGTGTGATTATGACCAAAGAAAATTATCTCCCCATTCTTCTTGACCTGTCTGCAACCTTTGACCCAGATGACCATACACTCCTCTTCCTTTTTTTGATTCATTCTTGGAAATCACTATCTGGGTCAGCATTTATTGCTCATCACTAGTTGTCCATGGTGATGGTAAACTGCCTTCTTGAACTGTTGCAATCAATTTGGTGTAGGTAGACCCACAATGCTTATAGGGAGGCAGTTCCAGGATTTTGACACAGTGACACTGAGGATATACTTCTAAGTCAAAATGGTGAGTGGTTTTGTGTTTGGAAGGAGCTTTTAATTTATGTAGTATATCTTGTAGGTGGTGCACACTGCTGCTACTGTTGTTTGTGGTGTAGGGAGTGAATATTTGAGAATGTGTGCAAATCATATGAGCTACTTTGTCCTGGATGAAGTGAAGCCTCTTGATATTTCTTGTCATTTGTCAGCTCAAACTTGGATAATGTCAAGGTTTTGCTACATTTGAACATGGACTGCTTGAGTATTGGAAGAGTCACGAATAGTGCTGAACGTTGTGCAATTATCAACAAACACTATTGACCTTGTGTTGAAGGGAAGATCATTGAAGCAGCTGAAAATGGTTGGGCATGGACACTATCCTGAGGAACTTCTACAAGGATGTTCTTGAGCTGAGGTGACTGATCACCAACAACCACAGCCCCATATTCCTTTTATGCTAACTAAGACTCCAACCAGTGGAGTTTCTCCTGATTCCCTTTGACTCTAATTTTGCTGGATGCCACATTTGGCAAATGCAGCATTGATGTCAAAGACAGTCCCTCTCTACTTCTGGAATTCAGCTCTTTTGTCCATGTTTGAATGATTGAGGTCAGGAGGTGAGTGACCCTGACAGAACTCAAACTGAACAATAGTGAACAGGTAAGCAAGTGCTATTGATAACCCCTTCTACCACTTCGCTTACAAGATTCTAAGCTCTCGACAGCCTTTCCTAAACCGTACCGTCACAATGAATCTTTTCTTTCTTTAAAATTCACTTAAAACCTAACCCTTTAACTAAATTATTTTAATCTGTAAGATTTCTGTGGCAGAATATCGTGTTTTGCATTATAACACTCGCATGAAGTGCTTTGGATATCTTAATGCTGTTAAAGGCATTATTTGTTACACTTTGTTTTTTTCCCAAGAACTTGCAAATTGGATTTTTATTGGAGATCATATCTTCTGTAAATGAACTATGGACTGTAACACTTACTAACATTGGCTAATGAATAACTTTTAAAACAGCGATAATCTTAACAATTTGGAACAGCATTTTTAAAAGGAACCATTGGCATTACTGAGTGGAATTTTGTGTCCCTGCAAACCTGTGGTACAATTTGCAATAATTTATGTATTTGTACCTTTGTTCCTTTGACCCATGTGGAACACCACTCCTATCTTTTGTCACTGTCAATAACTACCCTTTACTCCCACTTTGCTTTCTGTCTTGAACTCAGTCATCAATTCATTCTGCCATGGTTCAACATTGTCTGACCCAGTACATTTGTCTATTCGAGCAGGTTACCAAAACACCAGTAAAATCTAATTTTTGAAGGCTTGAGCTGTAGGAGGGGATCAGGCTCTCTTTTGTGTGTCATACCTTTTAGTCATATATGAAAGATTAAATTGAATGTAGCAAATTTTAACAGCGTGGCACACAATATGTTAACATTTTAAAATACAAGAGATATGACAATAGCCAAGATAGTACTACATTTTATAACATTGTGTTCTGATGTTTATTCTGGCTCACACTTATCAGGATGAAGTAAGTATTCTTTCACCTGTTGAAATTGCCGCTAATTTTAATAGTTTTGAATATGTTCACTATTTGTAAAACAACACTTAAAGACTGCAACAACATTGCGGCCTCAAAATTCTTTGTTTTTCTTATACTCTTTTCCGTAAATAAACAGGAATGGTGTGCAGACCTCAATCGTACACTTAGTAGGAGGGAGAAACCTAAAAAGACCGGGGATGGCGTGACATTAACTAGTATCAGTCAGACAGGTGATCAAGCATCCCAATCTTCCAAAGCTAACAGGTAAGAGATTCAAAATTTCGAGATTATTGCCACTTTTACAGGAGACAAATAACAAAGGGCATTCACCTGACAGAGCAGTCATTTCATAATTAAACATGAGGTTTTATTTTTAATCAAATTATGCAGTGCTTATGAATAGAGTTTTATAATGAGGTCTAATTGTTTCAGTCTAGCCCAGCAGAATTAAACAGAACCTGATTATTTTGCAATGAAGATTCATGCTTCAGTTCTTATTTGTTATTTTATTGGTAATTTTGAGATTCATTTCTGTACAACTTGCAGTCAAAATTTAAATTGGAGATTTTATAGTTCTGTTTAATTTTGCCACAAATGGTTCTGTCAATTCATTATTAAAATTGCTAGTCTGCTGAAATCTACAATTTCAAAAGTCATGGTATATTGCTTGACTAGCCAGAGTTTTCAAATAATGAACAGTTTTTTGACTGGTGCAGGATTGCTGTTGGTGCCTGAATCAAACTTAGCAAATAAAGGCCCTTCACCAGTATATGTGGCTTGGAAAATCATAGGCACCACACTCAGAAACATCCAGCGAGTTTCCTGCTGTGAACAAGGCCATGCTGGTTGAAATGGAGTCGCACAAAATTTACATTGAAATCACTTGGTGGTGGATCACACATTTTTTTAAAGAAATTGAGAAAAGTTTGTTTTAATAGCTGAAGTTTGATTAAAATGTGTGATGCAAATAAAACTTTTGAACCCAGAATACCAAACTTTTGCTGCCAGAGATTTTTTTTCAGGCTGCAGGAGCAAACCTAATTTTCAGATTTGTATTAATCAGCAAGACATTTTGCTGTTATTACAGGATGCCCTATGTTGTTCAGGTAAACCATTTTGTCTTTAGACAAAGTACAGCAAAATTTTTTTTTAACAAACATGATTTATGAAGTCGGTTAATGGCATAACTAATTTCATTTATATCAGCTGATGAAACATAATATTGATTGAATTTAATTGTATAAAGAGCATGCTGTTAATGATGTTATTTCCTAAATGGCAGTCTTAGTGTCCGGAGTTCCACTAACTCGATACGTTCCAGTTGCAATCCATTTGAGGAAGAGGAGAATGGCAAACCTGTCAATGAGAAGGAGAACACGTTAACCAAAAAGTTGGTGAAAGATTGCTTTTGATGAGTTTCATGATTTCATGCTGTTGCTTCGTGTTTCCTTTATCTAGGTGCCACACAATCAATGTACTAAATAATGCATGGATTTGTGCAGTGTGACTCAATGTTCCAAAGAGCTCTAAATATACCTTTCTTTCCTCAAAACAATTTTTACTTACAGATTTACTATCTTTACACTTACCTGCTTGTGTTTTTTTTTCTCTATTAATGTTGAACTATTTAATGTTTTCAAAATTATCTTAATTCCTTTAGCTTTTCTAACCTTGTGAAATCTGTCACTTCCTTGAATTTGAATAATCATTGTGTGTTTGCATGCTGAATGTGAAAATAAAAACTTGAAACTTTCAGTTTTCTTTTAGAAACTTCAGTCAGCTTGGTGGGAAGAGAGGGCAAGAATTACTGCTGTCTTTGTACTCATCACTAGATTTGAAGAATGGAAGAATGTTGCCTTAATACTCATTATTGGGCATGTTTCACCACAAATGGCTTCTCTTGATTTTTTTGTTTTCATTTTAAAAACCTAGCTTGATATTGGAATCAATCAGAGCATTTAAAAATGTGGTTTTTATTTTCCTATTTTAATTTTTTCTCCCCCACCCCCATCGTTATTCATTAGCTCAGTTAGTTACCGTCTCACTACATTGTTGAAGTCCTGTTCTTCACATGAATACGTAGGATTTAGGAGTAGGTTGTTTGGTCTCTCAAATCTGTTCACTGTTGTAATAGATCACAGCCGATTTGTACCTCAACTTTTAATTTATCCACCTTCATTCCACATCCATCAGCACAATTACTTAGTTATTTCAGGCTTGAAAACTAAAATTGCCCTAGCATCCACAGCTTATTGGAGGGGTGAGTTTTCCATGAGCCTTTGGGTGGAAAAAGTACTGACTGATTTCACTCCTAAATGACCTAAATCTTAACTTTAAGATTGTGATTTCTTATTCTGGATCCCTCCACCAGACAAATGTTAATGACACTAAAACTGTATTTATTCTGTTCGATCCCTTTCTCATTTTAATGACCTCAATTAGATCACCAACCCAGCCTTCAAACCTCAAGGCATTAAAAGGCCAGGTTTGTACAACTATCATCACAAATTGTTACTGTATATCCCAATATCATTCTAGTCAACCCGTGGTGCGCCCCCTTCAAAATCTATCCTGTGATTAACAGTTTGCACATGTGGGAGTCTGGAAACCTACTCCAAGCCGTGAAACCAGCTACTCAAAAATGGCCAGGGTAATCCTCCTTACTTTCTTAGTCGTTTCTGTTGAGTGTTCACTTCCACATGATAAAGTCTGACCACCCTTGCCTGTGAGTATAGCAGGAGTTAGAATGTGAGATCATTCTCAGCTTGTCTATTGCTGATGTTGGAGCGCCATTACGTTACCCCATCCTCCGTTTAGTCTGGATCAAAATTAGCATGTATGGACACTGATCTAATTTTTAAAAGTCCATTTCGATTGATCTGGGAGAAGTACAGTCTTCAGAAGATTAGTAATTTAATTACAACAGTAGTAACTTTTTATACTTTGGAATTCAGTGTTAGCAGCTATGTGAAGAGCCAGACTTACACCACAGAATGGTCAGATGATGAAACAAACAATCCCTTCAACTGCAATGAAACAAATGGTGACAATCCTTTTGAAGAAGACCATTCAGGCTCAGAAGTCAGAGTGCGAGCATTGTATGATTATGAAGGGCAAGAGCATGATGAGCTTAGTTTCAAAGCTGGTGAGTATCCATTATATTTCAAAACTTGAATCTGTACAGTTTTAATCCTGGATTGTAGAACTACCTGTCATGGGCAGGCATTATTAGAGTAGCTTTTATTTTCAGTTGGTCTGTAGTAGGAAGGATGCTCAGAATCAGTGGTTAGAGAGGTGATTTGTTTTTTCTTTTAGCATTGAGATGTTTGGTTGAATCTAAAAGTCTGCCACTTTCTACAAAGTTGATCTCTGAACGAATCCAGGTCGTATGTCTTTGCTAAAACTATAGTAAATGAGGATATTGTCAGAATATTGGATGGGATAAAATTGAAGATGTATTTGAAAGGCTGGATTTGGTTACCTGGTCTAGATGAGATGTACCTAGATAGCTGAAAAAAATAAGGGCAGAAATTGCGGAGGTGCTGGCTGCAATCTTCCATACTTCCTTCAATGATGCCAGAGGACTGGAGAACAGCAAATGTTACATCTTCGCTCAAAAAAGGAAAGAATGATAAACCTGGCACTTACAGGCTAGCCTGATTTAATGTTGATGGCATTACAAGCTTTTGGAGAGTAGTCCGGCGAAACTTAACAGCCACTTGAACAAGTATAGACTTAAAATGGAGAACAACTAAGGATTTGTTGAGGAGCAAAGTACTGCAGATGCTGGAATCTGTACTGAAAACAAAAAATGCTGGAAATCACAGTGGGTCAAGCAGCATTCATGGAGAGAGAGCAATTAATGTTTCGAGTCTAGATCCCTCCATCAGGGCTGTGAAGAGTCATCTAGACTTGAACGTTAGCTTGCTCTTTCTCTGCTGATGCTGCTTGACCTGCTGTGATTTCCAGCATTTTTTGTTTTCAATGTGGATTTGATTAGTAAAAATCATGTTTAATTAATTTGATTGAGTTTTTTGATAGTAGAAAAGATGGATGAGGATTGTGCAAGAAGATGATCTTTCGGAAGATGTTTGATAAATATCATTTAAAAACTGTTAGGGAAGAAGAAGCCTATGGAATCCAAAGTTGACTGAGGAATTCAAAATATTTCTGGTAAATGGCTTTGTTTTGGACTAGAGGAAGATGGATAGTGGGTGCAATGCCATTACTAGGGCCACAGCAGGTTCTAATATACATTAATGGCTTGTGGCTAAGAGGCACCAATTCAAAATTTGCACACAGGATGACACTAAATTTGGAAGTATAGTAAACAGTAAAGAAGACAGTGATTGATTCCAAGACAACATAGTGAAATGTGTGGATATGTAGTAACTTAAATTTATTGTAGAAAAGTGAGATGATGCATTCTGATAGGAAAAATGAGGAAATACAAGCTAAGTAGAACAATTTTCAAGGAATACAAGAAAAGAGACGCTGGGAGGTGTTTGTACACTTGTGTTTGATGGTGGTAGAACTGGTTAACAAAGCAGTTAATAAAATATATGAATTTTTTGGATTTATAAACTACAAAACAGGAAGCATTTTAAATGTACAGAAAACACAAATTCAGCCTGAGTTGGAAAATTTTGTCAAACTTTGGTCACCAAAATTTAACAAAGAAATGAGCACCTTCTAAGAAGAAGCCCAGAGGTGAGGAATTACAGTTAAGTAAAAGAACTGCAGAGGTTTGAGGTGATTGTTCTTGGTGCAGAGCAAGTTGAGACAAGATTCGGTAGATGTGTTTAAAATCATGAAAGGTAAAATAAGAAGATAAATCGTTTTCAGTGACTAAAGATTTGATAACTGGAGGGCATGGATTTAGTGTGATTGGTAAAGGAACCAGACATGACGGAAAGAAAATCATTTTTTATGCGATTATTGCCAGAATTTGAAATGTGCTGCCTGAGAGGGTGGTGGAAATAAGTTAAACAGTTGCTTTCAAAAGAGAATTTGGTAAGTACTTAAAGGAAAAAATATGTTACTAGTGGTGTACCTCAAGGATCTGTTTTGGGGCCACTGCTGTTTGTCATTTTTATAAATGACCTGGATGAGGGCATAGAAGGATGGGTTAGTAAATTTGCGGATGACACCAAAGTCGGTGGAGTTGTGGATAGTGCAGAAGGATGTTGTAGGTTACAGAGGGACATAGATAAGCTGCAGAGCTGGGCTGAGAGGTGGCAAACGGAGTTTAATGCGGAAAAGTGTGAGTTGATTCACTTTGGAAGGAGTAACAGGAATACAGAGTACTGGGCTAATGGTAAGATTCTTGGTAGTGTGGGTGAGCAGAAAGATCTCGGTGTCCATGTGCATAGATCACTGAAAGTTGCCACCCAGGTTGATAGCGTTGTTAAGAAGGCGTACAGTACGTTAGGTTTTATTGGTAGAGGGATTGAGTTTCGGAGCCATGAGGTCATGTTGCAGCTGTACAAAACTCTGGTGCGGCCGCACTTGGAGTATTGCGTACAGTTCTGGTCACCGCATTATAGGAAGGATGTGGAAGCATTGGAAAGGGTGCAGAGGAGATTTACCAGGATGTTGCCTGGTATGGAGGGAAGGTCTTATGAGGAAAGGCTGAGGGTTTTGAGGCTGTTTTCGTTAGAGAGAAGAAGGTTAAGAGGTGACTTGATAGAGACATACAAGATGATCAGAGGATTAGATAGGGTGGACAGTGGGAGCCTTTTTCCTCGGATGGTGATGGCTAGCACGAGGGGACATAGCTTTAAATTGAGGGGTGATAGATATAAGACAGATGTCAGAGGTAGGTTCTTTACTCAGAGAGTAGTAAGGGCGTGGAATGCCCTGCCTGCAAAAATAGTAGACTCGCCCACTTTAAGGGCATTTAAATGGTCATTGGATAAACATATGGATGATAATGGAATAGTTTAGGTTAGATGGGCTTCAGATAGGTTTCACAGGTCGGCGCAACATCGAGGGCCAAAGGGCCTGTACTGCGCTGTAATGTTCTATGTTCTATGTTCTATGTTCTATGTAAGATATAGGGGAAAAGCAAGGGATGGTGATTAACTGTGTTGTTCAGTATGAGTTCATACTGGTACCTATTCTTCTGCAACCTTAATTCAATATCAAACTGATGCCAATTCTATTGCTATCATACTTCCACTTCTGGGTTGTTGTAGCTATTTTGTCAAGGTTGTGGAATTCAACACAAACACTTAAGTTTCAGAATTAAATAAATAATGTCTTTTAGTTTACAGTAAATCAGAACAATGTCTTTAATTGTGTTTTGCTGTTGCATCAGTTTATGTTTCTCATGCAAGTTTTTCTGTGCTTTCATATGAACTATTCAAATTTGTATCATATTGAATACTTTGAACTGGACCACAACGAGTTCCATTTAAGGCCCTGATGTAAGACATTAGGTTCATGATTCCAAATAGGCAACCAAGTTTCTTTCAAATTTAAAATGTCATTTTTTTTGCTTTTCATTGTTATGCAGCAAAAAAAGTTTGTCATGGAAACTAGCATTGTTAAATAAGGTGTTGTACCATGTCAATATTTCCCATATGTATGATATTGAAGGTTTCTTGTCTCAAATCTTCTGAGTTCCAGAGTGTGAAATCATATCCGTGATGTGTGTCAGGACCTTGTGGAAGTCTTGACATGCACATTGCTCCTGTAATTAAGCAGGAGATTGAAACTTCTGAAAGGATGATTTGTATTGCCAAGGACACTCTGAATATTTTCAGCACTGATTTTAGTGATGGACAGTTGGGCTAAATCTATACTTTTTACCTGAATTCATACTCGAGAAACATTAACTTAATGTCTGGCGTAACTCAACCCAGCCCTGCACATTAACTACACCCCCACACCAAAAACTTCACTCACTCATACTTCTACCCACTCCATCATTCACGTAATAACCCGTCCAGTCGCCCACTCATCCATTAACCTATCCATCCACAAACTCATCCATTTAATAATGTATTGAAACATGACATCTTTGAAAAATTGCCTAAATAAAACTGCTAATGTCATAATTAGGAATTTTTTTCTTCATGTATTCTCACTTCCCTGTGTGCAATGCCCCTACACACACGCACACACACACATCACACATCCTCTTCTACCCCAAACACCTGCCACACCCTACCCACACTGCACGCCCGCCCAACACTATCCATATACACTCCTCTCTCCCTCTCTCTCTCTCTCTCGCATGCTCCCTCGCGCTCTCTCTCAAGCTCCGCCTTCGCTCTCTCTCTCTCGCTCTGGCACACACCACCTTCTCGTTCTCTGTTGCATGCTCCTCCCTTTTCTCTCTCTCTCGTATGCTCCGCCTTCTCTCTCCCTCTCACACGCACCCTCTTCTGTCTCGCCCTCTCTCACACGCTCCCCCTTCTCTCTCTCTCACACGCTCCCCCTTTTCTCTCTCTCTCGCACGCCCCCTCCTCTCTCTCTCGCATGGTCCCCCTTCTCATTC